ATAAATAAAAGAAATAATTCAGAACTGGCATTCTGAATATTCACCCTCAGCAAAGAGAAATGTCATGATAACGGTTGCAAGCCTTTTTTAAAACACCTATGAATATTCCAGGCAGCATTCTGGGTGTGTTACATACATTCTTCTTTAATCCACCTAAAAATTAATTATTATTTTCTATACCTACATGTCGAATAACATATCTTATCTAGGATTGTTATCTAGTTTTTTCTCCTTTTCTTTAATTAAAAGTGATAAAATTAAACTAAATTAATTAAATAAATATAAATATGGTGAAGTTACCCAGAATTTCTACTCAGAGTTTCTCAGTTTCATTGCTACTTCCTCCCCTGTACAACAGAGCTGCTAACTGCAGAGTTCCCATCTGGAAGCTGATGCTGCAGAAATATCCAAGACCTTTGTCCTCTTTGAAAACATAGTCACTGTCCCGATTTCTTATTCTTTTAACACTTCTGACAATTCAGTCCTCCTAGTTGATAATAAACAGTTAGCATCTTAATGAGAAAAACACTCTGCATTTAAATACATTTGAGATACACCTATGGTGAGATCGTTATAAAGGGAAACAACAGAATATAGGATATGTTTTTCATCTTGGTTTTCTAAATTTCTGTTTATCTCTACTGGACATGACCTTTCTCTGTTGAAAACTCCATCGTTTCACTCATGCCGTCAAATTAATTTACTGCCTTCATTTCTTGCACATAATATGTAAGTCACGAGTAGTGAATACCGATTCCCTGAAACCTCAGCTGTGTGAAGGAGCTATCTTGATCTCTTTCTCTTTGTGGCTCATATATGATTATATAAGATATATATTTGTATCTGTTTCCATTTGAAAGAGTTGTCTAATTTCCATTCCATGTGCTTTAGAATTATCCTTTAATGATTTGACTAAATGTGTCTGTTTCATTATTTTATCTAACACACAATGTGTTTTAATTCCACAGTATAATATATTTCAGACAGTCCATATGGCAAATAAAATGAATACAGAAAGAAGGCACTGGATTCATTTAGTGCCCTGCAACTCTTAATTTTGTTGATATGTGACATTACAAAAAGAGTCCTTTGATGGTTCAGTAAAACAAACCACATAGCAATTTGTTTCTTGATGTGGGTCAATTGCATATTGATTTTATTACGGCTTTCATCGGCAGCTATGTCAGGAGTGGGCTAGGTATTTATTAAGGCCTTGGGTGCTAGACTGTCACTATTTTATCAAAGACTGTCAACGATTTCTTGCAATGAACAGTTGAACATGATCGGTATTCACAACAACTTTTTTAGTTCTTTTAAAAAAGAATATTTTCAAAAACTTGACAAGAAATATGCCAAATGCCTGTAATGGCTATAAAGAATCATGAAGTACACACAATGGTGGAGAACAGAAAACAGAGGAATAAAAAGGCATGAAGGGAAAGTTGGTCAACTTAAATGATAATGTAAATATAAACAGCCTATGCTCAAATGAAAAAGAAAGCATCTCATTTTTCTCAGTGGCAGGTGTGGACCCCTAGACAGATGTGTAACCAGCAATTTTTATGCCCAGGGCAAGCACCAAGTATTTTATTGTATCCAACCTTTTCTGCTATGATCCTGCCTTCAGAACACTCTCTCACACCCCTTGCCTTCTCTCCTCCCCCCTGACCCTGTGACTTTCACATTTTTTGCTCTATTTATAATCCCTGGGCTTCTTGGGCTGGGTTACCCGGTCCTCTGAGTCAGCAGAGGGTGGCCACCATGACTTGAAATGTTCAGATGTCACTCTGAGCCCGGAAATTGCTCCCAGTGTGCTCACAGTCCCACTGTGTCTTTTTCCTACTGAGTCACTTCTAAAGGACTGTGTCATGCCAGACAGCACAAACTTCAGAAAAGGAAAATCAAGTCTTATGCCATGATAAGTAGGTAAATGTCGTATTACGTTTATAAACGCTACCTAATTGCAAAGTCAGTTTGAAATGCTTCCAGAACCTATGAAATTCCACATCTGTGTCCTGGCGACTGCCACTGTGTTCCCACAAGGGCCAGCGTATGGAATTCCAATATGTCATATGTTCAAGCCTGATCTTATTCATGCCAGCGTCATAGACGATCACAGTGTGCACCTGCCAGGCCTTCTATGCAGGAACATAAATGAACATAGCCACATTAACGATACCACCAATGCCTCCCCCCGCCCCAGTCTTTTCTATTTTCAATTATTTTGAGTTAAATTAATTTTTACTACTTTTATATAGTCATTCCATTTTTCAAATTAATAAAAAATTATGATGGAATATAACATCAACTTCATTCCCTATAGTCTTTATCTTGAGGAAAGAAACAACCACTACTTACTGAGACGTTACCCCTAGCAGAAACATTTTTACATCTATATTAAGCACAAACAAAGAGTTCAGACGCTTAGTGTAAAAAAAAAGTGAGGTTAGTGTGTCAGTCAAAATCCTGATTTCCAAGTAATAAAACCAACTCCGAACATTGTAGACAAGTAGAGACTTTCCTGGAAGCTAAGGAAGGACATGACATGAGGTTAAAGGGAAGGTTTGGCAAATGGCAAGGCAGATCAAGTGTTCCAGAAGCCAACGCACATTCATATTCTGTTCCCACCACTGGACGGAGCCACCACTGTCTCCCTATGGAGGCATATCTGTTTTTCTCATTCCTTCCATTATATGCCTCTCACTCCACAGACATGGTAGTGGATTGACAGAATTCATCTCATGTATATCTAGCTGTGCAAGGAGGGGAGGAAGGGAGAATTATGTTCCCTTGTATTTTCACTGTGGTAGGGGAGAAACAAACGTGTGACCAACAGCAGAAAATCAAATCACTAATGTCCACTATGGCTACTTAAGACCTTGGTCTTGTATCAAACATTCTTTACATTTTATAAAAAAGTCGGACGACACCTTCAATCCTTGTAATGGGTTATATTAGGTCCACTTTCAGAAACAGGCCTTATGATCGTGATATCTATTCAAACTGTGGACTCAGTTATTTTTTCATATAGTCTTGAGCAAATTAATAAATATGATTTCTATTTTCCTCATCTACTGCAATGCCCATGTATTTCATCTTCCTTAAAAGGGATTTTATTAAGACCACTAATGATGCTAATTAAAATATAGGTATCTTTAAAAAGAAATTCAATTTTTGGTCAACATTTAATTTTATCATGAAGGCCAGTCCATGCAAGCTTGATTTTATAGAATTTCTATTTAATTGCATTAGTAGGAAAATCTGAAATGCATCTTGCTTACTTATGCCCTTACTTCTTGTATAAATGTCACACGAGAGATAAATTCTGAAAAATCATGTGGTCATTAAACTCAGAGTTTTACATAACTCTTAGAGCTTCTCAACAGTGAGGAATCCGTTCTGTCATGTGAGTGCCCAGAATTTCCATATGAGAAAATGATCATGGTTTTCTGTTTCTTTGGGGGAAAAAACGCGCTGTGAGGTGATTGGCAGTGAAGGCTTCATCAGGCATGTTTGTATTAGAAAACAAGCCCACATGGAAAAGTGGAAATAGAAAACTATTCCTCAAGCATTTCCCGTCTCTCTTTGATCCGTAGCCTAATCCAGAGGAAAAGTTACAGAGATGCCAAGTTTATACATCTTTGGAATCACTCTTTTTGTCTATGAATGGCATTGTAGTGGCAGTTCCAGAAAGCTTATCACTGTGTTCTAACATACAGGAGTTAGCCCTCTAATAAAAAGTCTAACCAGTGTTCACTACAAGTAGGTTCCCCTGTGAATTATCTTAGATAAAGCGTCTGTAATGCTTGTAAGGTGAAGCAAATGCATCTCTGAGGAACAGAGGGGAGATTAGGACAATCTATTATTACAACCAATCAGCACTTTCTTTCTATTTCCGTGCCTGTATATCAGTGCAAACGATTTCAGCAGATTGCCTACTGTAAGATTTATTCTGAAGACTCAAATTATTGATTTTTCTCACTACCTAATCAGTGTTATTCTGAAAAAAATTTCAGCTGATATTATAACTGTGCCTACATAATGCTAAATATTCTGAAGAAAGCTGATCATTAGCTGAATGGTTGATTTCATGGAAACATCTGGATATTTTCCTGGGGCTTTTTAAGGTTTTTATGTAGATGTTTGACATAAAGATTGTGCTCTAATTTTATATAAAATAAAAATCCTGTTGCTAAAGCAATAATATCTTAATATATGGATAGCAAAGTCTTTGTAATTGTTGATGTGTACATCACCTTGAATGCAACATTATGTATTCTGAAGATAATTATCTAAAGTAGTATTTTAAAATCCAACATAAAAAGAGAAAAGGCACTAAATTCTACAGCATAAATTATTTTTCTTTCTAAAAACATGGGTTAGCTTTTTTTCTCTCTCTCTTGAAGTAATACTCTTGTTTATTTTGGCAAAATTTTTTGGACTACATACAGTAAACATTTACATAAAATTCACGATATGCATTCAAACAGTTTTGCTGATGTAATCTCATTTTGGTATTACAGTGCTCTCATCGTATGTTATATTTTAAATGAATTTGGATTACATGGAGGTAATGACAGGTAAAAGAGGATGCCATAAAACCACAGCAGCTTTGAGCTTCTTATTTCCAGGTGTGGTCATTTTGAGTCTTTCTATTTTAGCAGAAAACACATCAACATCTTTCAATAGGTTCAATCTCATCTTTACTTGACAGTAATTTTAAAGCTCCACAACATAAGTTATGTCTACCGTATTCCATTTAAGACCATTTATTCATTTTTTGTTGTTTTGGACATTATTATTTTTGCAACCAGCAGAAAATTGTAGTCAGCTGAGACAGAGGAGAGAGAAGATAGTTAAGGTGAAGACGCATAGGGCAAAGGTGAGAATGATGGAGTTCTCTAGTCCAGAAAGAAAATATACTCATCATAACTTAATGAACTCCCTGTCATAACTTAACTTCAGTTGTTATTGAAGTGTGAGTATATGGATGTCATTACCTGAGTGGTGTGACTTTCTCTATGTCTCTGAAATGACGAAGTCCCCGTGCCACTCACAGATAGCCTTGAGTATCCATCTTCTTCAGGTAAACCTGTTGAGGTTAACACAAATCAGACGTTGTCATGTCTCCTTTCTCCAAAGAAAGTAAGCTGTGTACTTACTGTAATATACTTATTATTAGAATTGTTATACTTCACAGATTGAAATGATGATCCTTAAACACAAAATTGAATACTAAATTTTGCAAAAAAATGTGGGGATGCAAGGTATTGTGTCAGTTTTGTTGAGTCAAAGAGGACACACTGACAAAAGAGAGAAAATCGCAATAAAGAAAAACATCACAATAGCACAAAAGTGAGCAAACAGGTATTGGAGAAGTGTGTGACCAGTGACAGGTGAGCCAATTCCCTTGGGCCACTGCAGATGGCAGAGACTGCATGCCATTTGCAGGGAGATGAAGAAAGGATTGAATGACAGATAGAACATAACCAGGTCTATGTGTCCGTTGAATTCCACAATAGCTTGTTTTGTACATAAGGAAGAAATGAGTTCAGAATCCATGAGGGAAGAGGTTGGGAGGGTTGCTGACTTACAACACACCAACTCTTAAACAATTATATAGAATAAACTGTGGGTTTAAGGAAATGTCCACGCTTCCCAATACTATAGACTTACCCATGAGGCACCAAGAGCTTTTATTAATTCTCCTCCATGATAGAAGTGGTATTTCTCAACCTTGGCACTTCTGGCATTTTGGGCTCTATAATTCTTTGTCGAAGAGTCTGTCCCATGCCTTGAGGTTGAAGAGCCTCCCTAGCCTAGATGCCATGGTACAACCATTTATGACAACCAAAAATGTTCTCATGCACTGCCAAATGTCCCTGGGGGGTGAGGTGATACATTTATCCCCTCCCTACAGAGGTTGAGCACCATTGTGATAGAGACATCGTGCGTGGCCACAGATGACTTAATTAGCAAACATGAAGAGATAGAAATAGTAAGTACCCAATGAAATGAATTCAAGTCAGAGAACTTTAAATGCTTAAGTGATTACTACTCTCATTGGAAAGCATAATTAACTAGCAGGGTATAATTGATTAAGCATATACATGATTTCTAAATTAAAAATCATTAGAAAGTCACTGCACATTTTTCCAATTATAGGAGAGAGTTGGTTCCTCAGGGAAGTCCACCCAATTCTGTTGGACACCTGATGAGGCTTGCCAGCTGATCTTCTTGTTATATGTACAAATGCCTTAGTGAAGAAAGGTTAACATGCTGGAGATGGGAGGACTACAGCTGGGACTGGCAGACCACCAGGTGAAAATGACCCCAGTCGCAAGCAATGGTAGCAACCTCAGATGCTAAATTAGACACTGTGGTACTGGAACATTGGAAAAGTTCTGATCAGGCAGTTCGTGTCAGAGCAATCTGGAGTCCAAACAAGTACAATCTGGAATTTCAGGTAACCAAATAAAGCAGATGTTTAAAAAAGGAGTTTCCAGGTAGCAGGGCACAGCCAAAGCCTTGAGATTCACAGGAAGGACTCCCTCTTAGAGGGGTATGAAAGATGGGTTGACGGGTGTATAATTTCCAAGTGAGATAGACAGCCATTTCTAGTGAAACTAGTTCACTGGGAATCTTACTAAAACAGAGAATCCGAGGCATGAGAAGAAAACGGTGATCCATGTTGCAAAACTAAATTATAAATTAGAAGTTTGCTCTCAGGATCAAAACAGAAACTTGGTTTAGATTATTAGGGTTACAAACTCCGAGACAAATCAGTAGTATCATGTGCATTACACAGAGTCAATGGAATATGCTTAAAATATTTATGAAGTTCTTCTAAATAAGACACTGGGAAATACAACGGAGGATGAAGAAAAGTAGCTACCCTTGAGGAAGCGGTCATTTAACGGGAATGACACTTTAACCTGCACACACAGCAGAACAATTTAAGGATTAAACAGGAGTACAGGAAACACTGGACAGGAGAAAGCAGTGATTAATTCTGAGGAAAAGAATTAGAGAAAACTTCGTGGTGGCATGGCCGAAGGACTTGGACCTTCTACGACAGGTTGAACAGCTAAAAAAACTTGAGAAGGGACACACTGGCTGAGGGAGCCAATGAGCCGAGACCACGAAACACAGGATGGCTTCACATCCAGCAGATGAGCCTGTGAGACAGTCAAGTAGGAAACCTGGAGAATGTGCCAGAAGGTGAAGCAGTCCAAGTGTTAAAGACCTTTCCGTAACGCTTCGTAGAACTGTGGCCATATTTGGGAGACAATGGGTAGCACTGTGGATTTCTGAGAAGAGATAGGAACCATTTTAACTAAGCGAGTTGAGAGGGACTTCGTGCATATCTGTCGACTAAAGGAGTGACTGGTCCCTGAACCTATGGCAGGGATCCATAGACAGGGACAGTGGCCTTTTAGGGCAGGTGGACGTGTGTCGGTGGAAGGCCAGGTGAGGACAGGAGGAGGGAGGCAGGTGGATGTGTGTAGCTGGAGAATCAGGTGAGGCTGGGGAGGAGGCAGGTGTAAGTGTGTAAATGGAGGGTCAGGTGAGGATAGGAGGCAGGGAGGTAGTAGTTGGGGTGGGGAAGCAGGTAAGCAGGTGCTGGGAAGGTCAGCATGTGGAGAAGGGAGTGAGAGAACCACTGGGCCTATGTCTGGGGGAAGAAATCCTTGGAGATGGTAGCAAACGGGTGAGGGACTTCATCGCAGCCAACATGTCATGGCAAAATAACTAGAAAAGCAAAGGAAGAGCCAGGAAACTCCAGAGGTGCAAAGGAGGATTTATGACAGGATTTACATTTTTTAAAGATGGGGGTCTTGCTATATTGCCCTGGCTGGTCTCAAACTCCTGGCCCTTTTAAGTTATTCTTCTGCCTTGCCCTCGGCTAGTGCTGGAATCACAGGTGTGAGCCACCACACCAGTGTTTTCTTTTTTTTATTAGAAAACATTTATTTAAAAGTAAACTAGAGAGAGAGAGAGAGAGAGAGAGAGAGATAGTGAGAGAGAGAGAGAGATTTACCTTCCCAAGGAGGGCAGGGGGAGGAATTTTTTAACCAACAAACTATTTTATTTTGCTGCCATGGCAAAAGCAATAACTTTTTAAGGGACAACTTAATTAAAAATGTCACCAAAGACACAAAACATGGGTGAAAATGGATTAATGTCTCGATATGAACATTAAAAATACGCATGTAGGCTGGGCTCAGTAGCTCAGCCTGTAATCCCAGCACTTTGGGAGGCTAAGGCGAGTGGATTGCCAGAGCCTGCGGGTTTGAGACCAGTCTGGGCAACTTGACAAGGTCTCGTCTCTACAATAAATCAAAAATTAGCCAGGCGTGTAGTGCACGCCTATAGTTCCAGTTACCTGGAAGGCTGAGGTGGAAGGATTGCCAGAGCCCAGCAGGTTGACGCTGGAGTGGCTGTGGGCGTGCCACTGCACTCCAGCCTGGGAGATGGAGTGAGACTCCAACTAAAAAAATAATAATAATAAACATGTAAAAAATGCCATCAAAACGAAATGCATATTTTGGAAGAACAATATAGAATATTTAAATATATTAAATAAAAGACTATTATTCTTAAGCCACCCTACATATCAAAATAAAGAACTGACTCTTTGACTTTAAAAAATGGACAAATAATATATTCAGAAAATTAAGGAGAAACCATATGAATGACCAATAAATAGTAAACATGTTCATTTTCATTAAGAATTGAAAAAAATGCATAGAAGGCTTCAATAACATTCATTTTAACTACCAAAATAACAAAGATTTAAAAACTTTTTATTACTGCAATTTTAAACATATATAAAAGTAGAGAAAACATGTGGTGAGACTCTGTGTACCCATTCCAAGGCTTGGGATTATCCATCATACAATCTGGTTCCATCTCTTTCTCCCTATCTTTTAAAAAATAAATCATTCCATTTTACCTGTAACTACTCGAGCATGCATCCCTAACTAAGAATAACCTATTTTTTTTTTAACATAATGAGGATTTCCTCATGCAGCTAATGGGAACACTGCTAAGCAGAGATCCCAGAAAAATCTCCAAGTTCTGTGGGTGGCAAGTAGAAAATTCCAAAGTGCATGTTAACCAGCGTTGAAGAACTACGATTCCTTCTGGAGGAACATTCACGGTTAAGATGGAGCACTTTACAGGTCCCTCTGTTGGAAGGGAGGTTGCCATTGGAAAGTGATGGCAAGCACCTATGGATGAACTCACTCTGGTGTTCTCACTGTCCCAACCTTCTCCCCTGATTGGACGTAGAGGTGATAATGCCCAGCCTAGGGAGTCATATGTTCCTGCCTCGCCATTTTCTTTCTAGGGCAGCAACCGTGTGCCTCACAAAGTTGAGTTTTTGCCCATGCGATACTAAACCTTTATTTTAAAAAGCCATCTTTGCTTAAATGGGCAAATAACATATTTAGAAAATTAAGAAGCAACAGTGTGAATGAGCAATACACAGTAAACATGTTCATTTTCATTAAGAATTTAAAGAAATGCATCAAGGGTTAAGGTATTCTGAAATGGCATCCACCATTCCCTCCAGATTGCTAGCTCTTCTGCTCAAAGAAAGACTGCAGAGGCTTTAGGGATGGAGCTCCCCCAAAACTGGTCTACAGGGCATAATAGACATACTCCAGGGGATTTCCTGCTCTCCTGATCTTGGGTGAGGACATCAGAAAGGCTCCAGCCTTGATCAGGGGTATAAATGGAAGGATAGGCCTTTGCTCATTCTCTTCTTGTGCATTGAGGGATGCTCAGAGCTTTGCACATTCAACCTTCTTCCAGGACACAAAGATGGTTGGCTGTTAGGACATTCTCCTTATCAGCTATGGTGTGGACTTGGTCCCTGGAGTTCTGTGTGATTTTTTTGTTTTTGAGTTGGAGTCTCTCTCCATCACCCAGGCTAGAGTGTCTGTGATTTTTAAAGTGATTTTGAAAAGTGACTATGGGGTCATGAAGTATATATGCAGAGCCCAGGAGGTTTATTCAAAGTCTTATAAGAAGAGAATGAGACAGAGTGTGTAGGGGTGGTATGGCACAAATTGGATGTTGTTACCC